CTGTTAATTTGGGGCAACTGTGGCATAAACCTGACACTGGGTGGTGGATTAATACATTTGTTAAGCACTGTATATTCCAAATATCAATTATGTGTCTCCTCAACTACTAATATTTGGTATCTGCCCTGAAAAAACAAACCGATGGACCCCCATCGTTTTTTGTTCTACCTTTTGTTTGACCCTATTTTCCTTATTTCAAGCTTTTCTTTTTTTAAAAAAAATACAACAGTTAAGGTTATTCAACATTTATCTATGATCAAGCATGAAAAATCTAAGTCCCCAGAATAAGAGCTACGTAAGCCACTTTGATTTACCTGGATGAGTGGAGTCCTCCCAAAGAAGAACCCAAACAGATAGGCCATGATGTCGTTGCAGATCACAATGGAAATGGGAACAATAAACCTGCAAAACAGGAATTTCAGCTGTGATGAGAGCTGGTGGTGAGATTACACCACACAAGACAATCACAATCTGATTTTGGCTTTAAAAGTGTTTTTACTCTATGAATTGACAGGAAAAGTTACTTGTAACATGTTTAAAAAAATGCAAAATTAGAAAGCTAATGTTATGTTTCCCTTTTTAGAATAGCTCATCAAAACAGAATATGATGTATTTGTGGATGCGACTCGGACTTTTACACTAATTGTCGCCTTTAACAGTAATCAGAAGCCTGTACGAGGACAGTGAGCGCACACTGGCGATGACACAAATGCAACAGTAGTGAAAGACAACAGGGCAGGTTCCTCTGGTCTGTCCGTGTCCTGCTTACCAGATCATCCCCTCAAACAGGTTCTGAATGACAAGGTGGGACTGAGTTACCACAATCAACAGGGTCACATGGGTCCAAGCAAACTGGAATGGCAAACACAAACACAAACACCACAGTGTCACTGCACTGGAATGTAGCCGTGCCCGCTCGCAAGTTGGCTCGTGTCAGAAATAGTGGCTTCGTACAAACAGACAGACGGACGGAGGTGAATGACACCGACAGCCGCGCTGCAGAGGCAGGTGATGTGCACATGTCAAAGAAACATCAAAACAAAACGTAGTGGAGTGAGAGGAGCAGGCGTTTAGGGCTGAGTGACATATTCAAACAAGAATTTAGCAAATATGACGTGCGATGAAATGATCAAATTAACCGTAAAGCAACAAACTGTAACACAGCAGCATAATGAGAACAGTCAGGTGTGAGTGTAGCTGAGACACGACTTGAAAATATTCTGAAATAAAACCCAGATTTTACTACATTTTAAACTTCTGGTCTTTTTAACTTTAGATCTAACTGTAGTTTACAAAAGTTCAGAACTTTTTCTTTTAAAAAATACACAGATTTTACAACAATTTAAACTTTTTTAAAACTTTTAAACTCTTTTGAACTTCAGATCTGAGTGTAGTTGAGAAAGATCCTGAAAATGTTCTGTAATATTCCTGGACAAAAGTATTCTTAAATAAATCCCAGATTTTATTCCATTTTAAACTATTTGTCAGTTAAGCTTCATGTATGATTGTAGTTGAGAAAAATCCTAAAAATATTCTTAAATAAAACCCAGATTTTGCTCCATTTGAAACTTTTGGTCTTTTGAACTTTATGTCTGCGTGTGGCTTAAAAAAAAATCCTGAAAGTATTCTTAAATAAAACCCAGATTTTTCTCACTTAGACCTGAAGTTCAACAGACCAAAAGCTCAGATTGTAGCTCATGAAAAAAAATGAAAATAACACCTAAATAATAAAGATTTAGCTCTATTTTGTACCTTTTTCAATTTGAACTTTGGGTCTGAGTGCAGCTGAAAAAAATCCTGAAAGTATTCTTAAATAAAACCCAGATGTTTCTCCATTTTGGGAAAATAATAATAAAGTAGTTAAACAGGTGCGCCACATGTTTAAAAAAGGTAGGTGGAGCAGTGGTGAGCAAGAAGGTTGTGGATATTTCCCAGAGTTTGCATGTTCCTGCATGGGTTTTCATCCCACAGTCCAAACACATGCATGCTAACGTAAGCTAATTAATGCTTCTAAATTGCCCGTAGGTGTGGGTGTGAGTGTTGTTTATTTCTTTGTATGAACAACCTCCTTCTCACCCAACCGTAGCCTGGACAGGCTCCAGCCCTCTGCAAGCATCTACAGGATACATTTTTGGAGCTAACGGCTGGAATTAAATTGTTTGGGCCACTAGAATGTGGTGCATAAAGATGTCAGGAAAAGCAAAACTGATGCATGTAAATGAAAAAAAGCTGAAGCCGCTGCAGAAGTCCTTTTTTTTTGTTTTTGTTTTGAAAACCAGGATCAAATTCTGCATTGCAATGTGGTCAGCTGATCATTTAAGAACACTTCTGTGTTTCAAAAAAAAGCAGAAACCTGATAAAATGTCTGCAGAGGTTTCTGCAGTGGCAACAGCAGCATGTGAAATAAGCCACCAAAACGATGTCAGCAGGACGTAAGAAGAATGTGGATGGACGGCAGAGTTAGTGCAGTGCGGTACAGGAGAAGGTTACTTGGCTGATACACACCATATAAAACTGCAGGCGGTAATGTTTCTTCACTAAACTCAGCACAAACATGCAGAAACCTGTGAAAGAGTAGACAACATGCTGTCAGTTTTTACTTTGACAAAAAAAAAAGAAGTGTAGATTAAACAACATGAATCACATGTAACACATCATGTACTGTTCACTGTACGGGGAGGTGTGTGTGTGTAACATGCCTGTGACAAAAAAAAGAGTTTTTTAAAAAATCTCTAAACAGCTCACACGTTTCACTAATTCTAAGCGAGACTTTGCGTCGAGGAGGCTGTTGGCCGAAAGCTGGTGCGTCAGGTTTGTCCACGTGAAGCAGGAAAGGCCCTCAGGGGGCGACGAAACTGTCAGCAGACTGAGACGACGATGTCTAGTTCAGCATGTTTATGAGTCCTAATGACGCTGGTTTCATTTCAAACAAGTGGACGACGTGTGTCACACTTTAAACCATAAACTACACGTATATGTACACACATAGATACAGAAATTTGCATTTTAAAGATTACTATTAGGACTTCTGCACTGTAATTTCCAGTATTGACTAAACAAAAAGGAATTTCCCATCTCAGAATGAGCATGACAGGTAGAGTAAAGACAGTGATGCTACTATTTAACAGAAAGCATTTTTTCAGGTATTTCTGACCTTTTGATAAACAAAAATAAATAGTAAATGAAATCCTAATTAACAAAACCAGTTAAAAATGTTGAAGTGCTATTTTTACTCTCAATTCCTATTATTTTGGTGCCAGTAATATTCCTTAAGGGACTCACCAAAACCAGTATAGAGGACACCAAACTTCCTCTGTGCAGGAAAATGACACATCTGTGATAAGTTAAACATCAGCGGGCTGAATCTGAATGTGGTTCATATTTGTTCGGGCCAGTGAGTGTTGAAATAGGACTGTGTGATTTAGGTAGAAATGAATCAACACTGAGATCAGGGTTATTCACTGATTTTATGCACAAAATATACCCGACATCGAAACCGAGCTCTGCTTTTCCTTCAGGGTCATTCCGTGTCAGCTCAGCGAATGCGTTCTTTCATAACGCCATAAAAAAAATGTATTTCATTTTTATGTCTTCATGCTCCTGATCAGTTCCAGACGCCAACCTGAGCCACCACTTCCCATCTAATAATAATAATAATCATAGCCAGGAGCAGAATGATTTTAGCATGAAGGATACTGAAACTTGGCACACCAGTAGATGATACTTCCTTGTCTTACTATCCTAAACATCTTCAGCCTACCCATGATTCAAGA